TACAGAAACCCTCAAAAAGACTTATCCAGTTGAATCCAACAACGTATAAAAAGAATTATATACCATGACCAAGTGGGATTTGATCTAGGTATGGAAGGCTGGTTCAACATTTGAAAATCAGTCAATGTAGTTCATCATATCTACAGATTAAAGAAGAAAAAATCAGGATTATGTCAAGTGATGCAGAAAAGCATTTGACATAATTCAACACCCATTTAAGATAAAAACTCTTAACAAATTATAAATAGAAGGGAATTTCCTTAAATTGATAAAGATCATCTATACAAAACCTACAGCTAGTATAATGGAACAGGACCCTATGGTCTATGCCCTCCATGTCCTCAGCCTGCCTTTTGTCTGTGGAAAAGCTTTAGCCAAAGAATAAGTTTAATCAGAGAAGTGAGAAAATGCAGAAACAAAGGAAAACAGTCAAAGAAGACCAAATAATAATAGTTTAGTCATCGAGCATAGTCAAGGACCTTTAAGCTCCTTCTCAAGGGCTATAGATAATATTCTGAGCCGTATCCTGTGAAGTGTCTTATAGGTACTGAAACCCCCACCAGGTGGAAGAGGTTAACTACATGATGACCAGACTGTAGCCATGACATAAGCTGGTACAACTCCAAGAATTGGCCCCAAGGAAATGGGAACAAACTGATCCTGGAACTGAAGATTAACTGTACTTAAAACAATCAAGATGACGCTGATCAGACCACCAATGACCAATTTCAAGATGACTGTCAGAGTTGACTGTGCTGTTTCTGCATGTAGCCCCCTCCCTAAGCCTATAAAAGCTCCTGCTCACTGATTGCCAGTGGGGGGGAGTCGACCTTTGGACAGACGTCCACCCTCCCCTCCCCAGTTGCTGGTATCCAAAATAAAGCAAACTTTCCTCTTCACCAGTATGGCCTCTTTATTGGCTTTTGAGCGGCAGCTGGACCCCACTTTTGGTTACACTGACATCATAAATAAGGGTGAATGCTTTCCCTCTAAGATAAGGAACAAGGCAAGGACTCTTATTCAACATAGTATAGGAAGTTCTAGCCACTGTAATAAGGCAAGAAAAAGAAAGAAAAAGCATGCAGAATTTAAAGGAAGAAATAAAATTGTCCTTATTTACAGGTGACATGATTGTTTGCATAGAAAATCTCAAGGAAACGATACAACAAACCTCATAGAACCAGTAAGTGAATTCAACAAGGTTGTAGGATATAAGATCAACATACATAAATCAATTGCATTTTTATATACTAACAGTGAACATATACTAACAGTAACTGAAATTAAGACATATGCCATTTATAATCACTTCCCTGGAATGAAGTCCTTAGGTATAATTATAACAAAACCTGTACAGGATCAGTATACTGAAAATTATAAAATACTGATGAAAGAAATTAAAACCACCCAATTAAACACCTACCATGTTCATGGATTGGAAGACTCCACAAAGTAAAGATATCATAGTAAAACTGCCCCTAATTACTCTATAGGTTTGATGCACTTCCTGTTAAAATTTCAGCAAAGTTTTTGTAGACATAGATAATAAGCTTATTCTAAAATTTGTATGGAGGGACTTCTCTGGTGGTCCAGTGGTTAAGACTCTGTGCTTCCAATGCAGGGGGCATGGGTTTGATCCCTGGTTGGGAACTAAGATCCCACATGCTGCACAGCATGGCCAAAAGATTTTTAAAAATAAATAAATAAATAAATTTTGTATGTAAAGGCACAGGGCCTAGAATAGCTTAAACCATCTTGGGAAAAAAAAAAAAAAAAAGTGGGAGTAATCACTCTGCCTGATATTAAAGCCTACTGCATAGCTACTGTAATCAAGGGAGTGTGGTATTGATAGAGAGACACTTAGGTCAGTGGAACAGAATTGAGAACCAAGAAATAGACCCACACAAATATAGCCAACTGATTTTTGACAAAGTGCAAAAGAAATTCAAAGGAGAAGGATAACTTTTTCATCAAATGATATTGGAGCAGCTAGACATTCATAGGCAAAACCATGAAACTCAACTTAAACCTTATACAGAAATTCACTCCAAATGGATCACAGATTTAACTGTAAAATGAGACGCTATAAAACTTTAAGAAAAATATTTGAGAAAAGTCTTGGGGTCTAGGGCTGGCCAAAAGCATGATCCATAAAAGAAAACAAAAATGATGTCAGACCTCATCACAATTTGAAAAATTTTGCTCTGTGAAAGACTCTGTTAAGAGGATGTAAAGGCAAACCACAAACTGGGAGAAAACATTTGCAAACCACATAACCAGCACAGAACTAATACCTGGAGTATATAAAGAAGTCTCAAGACCCAACAGTTAAAAAACAAACAATCCAATTAGAAAATGGGCAAATGATATAAACAGTCATTTCAGCAAATACAGGTAACAGATAAACAGATGGAAAGATCAACATCATTAGCCTTTAGGAATATATAATTTTGAAATATGAAATATCAAAATAGCTAAAATAAAAAACAGTGACAACACCAAATGCTGGTGATCATGCAGAGATACTGGATCCCTCATGTATCACTGGTGGGAATGTAAAATTGTACAGCTACTCTGGAAAACAGTTTGACAGTTTCTTATAAAACTAAATATGTAGCTACCATAAGACCCAGCATTTTCACTGTTAGGCATTTATCTCAGAGATATGAAAACTTATTTTCATACACTGTACACTGTGTTCACAGCAGCTTTATTATAGCACAATTCTGGAAACAATCTAGATGGCCTATAACAGGTTAAACCAACTGTGATACATCTATACCATGGACACTACTTGACAATAAAAAGGAACAAGTTACTGATACATGCAACAACTTGGATGAATCTCCGGGAATTATGCTAGGTGAAAAAAGCCAATCCCAAAAGGTTACATCCTGTATGATTCCATTTATGTAACATTCTTCAAATGTCAAAATTACAGAAATGAAGAATAAATTAGTAGTTGTGGGGAGCAGAGCATGGTAATAAAAAGGCATCAGGAAGGAGCCTTATGGTGATAGAAATGTTCTGTATTTCGATCATATCAATGTCAATATCCTAGATATGATATTGTACTATAATTTTGCAAGATGTTGCCTTTAAGGGAAACTGGATAAAGGATACACAAGATCTCTCTGTATTATTTCTTACAACTGGATATGAATCTACAATGACTTCAGAATAAAAGCTGAATTATGAAAAGTGGCAAATCACTTGGAAAGTGGTTTGACAGTTTCTAATGAAGTTAAAAATAAACCTATCCTATGACCTAGTCATCCTACTCCTGTGTAAATATCCAGGATTAATGAGTGCATTTGGCCCCAAAAAGATTTGTGCAAGAATATTCATAGTAGCTTTATTCATAATAGCTGAAATATGGAAACACCCCAAATGTCCATATGCAGGAGAATGGATAAACAAATTGAGATATTTTCATGCAATGGAATACTTCTTACAGAAAAACAAGCTACCGATACACACAAAATATGGATGAATCTCACAAATATTATGTTAAGCAGTGGGAATCAGATACAAAAGAATATATAGGGTATGATGACATTTATATGAAGTTCAAGAACAGGCAAACTTATTGATGGTGATAGAAGGTAGAATACTGTTTACTGGTGGCGGGGGTATGGTATCAACTGGAAAGTAGCTTGATGGAACTTTCTGGAGTCAAGGAAATGTGGTTATGTAAATATACACATAATGCTAAAAGTTACTGAGCTTTACACTTAAGGTTTTGCATTTACTATATGTTAATTATACCTCAATAAAGTACGGCAAAAAGAATTATCCCCCATTCATGGGGGAAGAAAGACAGGTCAACCCATTCATGGGGGAAGAAAGACAGGTCAACCAGTCCCACTGTGTAGACTTTGTTTGGATCCGTTTCCAGACTAGCTGTAGAAAAACCTGTTTATGATACTTAGGTTAAATTGAAAATCTGAACAGTTTATAATTGATGACATTAAGGAATTACTGTAAAGTTTACAGGTGTAAAATAATTATTATTGTTAAAGAGTTCTTATCGTTTAGAGGTACATGTTGAAATAAGTGATATATCTAAGATTTGCTTCAAAAGAAAACACATGAGTGGTAAACAAAACAAGACTGGCTGTGAGTTGATTGTTGTTTAACCTACATGATTGGATTATTGTCTACTTTTTACTCCGTGATAAAAAGTTTAAAATTTTAAATATGGATAAAAGATACACACAGGTAGCTTTGTTATTACCAATAAAACAGAATAATTGGCCTCTGAGATAGTACGTTATAAGGATGCTCAAGGAGTGGTAGGGAAAGTTAATGCCCCAAACAAAATCATTGCTTGTCTGTACCAGGTGTCTTTAGCAAGGAGTGAGAATCTTTTTTTATACTTGGAAGGTATAGTTTTTTATTATTTATTTATTTATTTCAATTGAAGTATAGTTGATTTACAATATTATGTTAATTTCAGGTGTTCAGCATAGTGGTTCAGTATTTTTACAGATACACTCCATTAAAAGTTATTACAAGATAATGACTATAATTCCCTGTCCTATACAGTATATCCTTGTTGTTTATCTATTTTATACATGGTAGTTTGTATCTCTTAATCCCATACCCCTAATTTGCCCCTCCCCCTTGCCTCTCCCCTTTGGTAACCACTAGTTTGTTTTCTATATATATGTCTGTTTCTGTTTTGAATATATGTTCATTTGCATTATTTTTTAGATTCCATATATAAGTGATTTCACTAAGCATAATATTCTCTAGGTCCATCCATGTTGCTGCAAAGGGAGTGGGGATTCTTAAGGGCAGAATACCACCCAACACCAAGTGGACACCCATGTGTGGATAACTTACGTGCAAGTTCTTTCAGTCAAAATGTATTTACGACGATGTTAGCACATAGAGGCACATTGTATCTCTATAAATTGTCCATTCGTTGTAACATATTGAAGCAGTGGGGTTAATTATTTTTCTACTTTCATGTGTGTTCTCTTGTTTTCCATAAGGACCTGATGTTATTTTATGAGGATGATCCAAAGCCAGTTTTGCCGACAATTCCTACTTCCATTATCTCGTCAACTACATGGTTGTCAGAAGGGCAAACAGATGTCTGTAACCTCTGGGATGCAGGTAAATTAGGTAAAGAATAAAATTTTTACTCAGAAACATGAATAAGAAACACTGGACAGGAATTGTTTTTCATCAGATTTTATTTTGTTAAATATAGCAACAGTGGCTTTAATTTAACTTTGGTCATGAGGGACCGGGTTAGCATGGATAAATTCAACCCACACAGGATCAAGATCCTGTAACCTTATTTTACCATTTGTTTCAATGTTTTTTTCTCTTTCATTGTTTTATTGCAAAAATTATTAACTACAAGGCTTAAATCTTTTATAAATTTTTTTAAAGCAGAAAATTTCATTTTAGTTCCTTCTCTTGTTTGTATTAATCTTCTCTTTGATGAAGAGTTTAAATTATGATATTTTTCAGAAGCAAGCATTAGATGAAAATATGAAAAAGCATGATGCATGGTATACCACAAATTGGTTAATCATCTCTTGAGTAATTAACATTAGAGAATGGCACAGTACAAAATTATCCAAAACTGGCCTCCAATAAATTACGGTATCAAATTCCAACTGGGCTCTACTGCTGCTCAAGGTCTGATTGATCCACTGTCGAGCCACTCCATCCCATCTATCCTCCATGAACTCTCAGTTTTCAATACATTCTTCCTCTTGATTTTCTCAGAAAATAGGATGAAAGATCTGCCAGGATGAGAACAAAACGTTCTCAGTAGCTTTTATTCCCTTGTATATCTTTGCTTTTATATCCATCCAGGCATCCTTTTCCTTTTCACAGAGTTGGCTCCTTACATTCTGAGTTACATCTTCTCCCTCATCTTTGGACCATGCACCTCAATTTTCCCCTTATATAGCACCCTGATATCCAAAATATTAAAACTGAAGTTTATTAGTATAGGTTTATATTACAAGTTCATATGTATATAGTTCACGTATATGTATATAGTTCATGGCTTTCTTATAAAGCCATTTGTGAGAATGATGAGGATATTTTAAATAGACCCCAAAACAAGAAATTGTGGGTTATGGTGATATCTGTAGTACAAGGTTGGCATTATTCACATGAATAATTGGTTATAAGTGGTTACAATACACTGATCCAGATCCAGAAGTTTGAAAGAAGAACAGTAAGGAAAATGTTTTTGTATTTTAATATCTCCTAACATTTCCACCCCCTAATATTTTTGAATAGACTTTATTTTTTAGAGCAGTTTTAGGTTCACAGCAAAATTGAAGGAAAGTACCAAGATTTCCCCATATAACCCTTGTCCCCAAACGAGCACAGCTTCCCCACTATCAGCATCCCGCACCAGAGTGGTACGTTTGCTGCAATCAGTGAACCTACTTTAACACTTTTTTTAATCACCCAAAGACCATACTTTTCATTTTGGTTCATTCTCAGTGGAGTACATTTTATGGGTTTTGACAAATGTATAAGACATGTATCTACCATTATAGTATTGTACAGAGTATTTCTTTGCTCTAAAAATCCTCTGTGTTCTGCCTATTCATTCCTCCCTCCCCTCTAACCCCTGGAAACCACTGTTATTTTAACTGTCTTCATAGTTTTGCCTTTTCCAGAAAGTCATATAGTTAGAATCATGCAGTATGTAACCTTTTCACATTGGCTTCTTTCACTTAGTAGTGTGCATTTAAGGTACCTCCTTGTCTTTTCATGGCTTAATAACTCGTTTCTTTTTAGTGCTGAATAAGATATACTAGAGTATTTATCTGTTTACCTACTGAAGAACATCTTGGTTGTGTCCAAGTTTTGGCAATTATAAATAAAGCTGCCGTACATATCCTTGTGCAGGTTTTTGTGTTACATGTTTCTCTCTGCCAGCATTTTAATACAAGTGAATTTGAGTATAAATGAGCATCAGAGGCAACCCTTAAGAGGAAGAAGTTCACAAAACATGTCACTTGAGGGATGATTCCACCATTTTACTTGTTTAGGACTCATCTTAATTGGAGGAGGTTTTCCTACTTTTGAGTCTTTCTTTTTTCCAGTCTTTCCTTCACACTGATCTCAGAGATATCTTGCAAATGTAGATCTTAGCATTTCATTTTCCAGCTTAAAAACTTTCAACAATTCTCCACTGCCCATAAGTCTGTTTTTTTATACTGTCATGTATGACTTTTCATAGTCTGGTCCCAGCCCACCTTTTTTGGCCTCATCACCCAGTACTGTCAGTATTCACAATACTTTATGACATTCTATTACTTTCTCTTTAGAATGTCTTTGTTCCAGTTACTTCAGCTGTGTAACACATTGCTCTAAAACTTTTATGGCACAAAATAACCATTTATTCCGCTCATGGATTCTCTGGGTCAAGAATTAGGACAGGGCACAGTGGGGATGACTTGTCTCTGTTCTGTGACATTATGTCTGGGCTTCAACCCGAGAACACAAATGCTGGGGACAGGAATCATCTGAAGCCTCATTCACTTACGTGTCTGGTAGTTGATGCTTTGCTGTGTCAGCTGGGGCCCTCAGTTTCTCTCCACATGCACCTCTTTATGTAAATCTCTCCACGTGGGTTAGTTTGGGCTTCCTCATAGCATGGTGGCTGGGTTCCAAGGTTGAACATCCTGTGAAAGAAAGGACCAGGCAGGAGCTGAGTAATCTCAAAGTCATGCTGTGAACTTCCTCCCCATTCAGTTTATCAAGGCAATAGAAAAGACTTGCCAAAGTTCAAAGGGAGGGTACGTAGATGCCTACCCCTCCATGGACAACTGTCAATGGCATATTGAAAGAAAAGCATATGGGATGGGATGTGTATTAGCACGGTCATCTTTGGAATATACAGTCTGCCACAGTTCTCCATCAAATAATGTTTAACAAAATCCTATTCAAACAGCAAGGCCCAGCTTCTTTCTCAAGATTATTTTGGCTATTCAACATCTTTTGTGTCTTCAAACAAATTTTAAAATATTTTGTTCTAGTTCTGTGAAAAATGCCATCAGTAATTTGATAGGGATTGCATTGAATCTGTAGATTGCCTTGGCTAGTATGGTCATTTTAACAATATTGACTCTTCCAATCCAAGAACACAGTATATCTTTCCATTTGTGTCATCTTCAGTTTCTTTCATCAGTGTCTTATAGTTTTTGGAGTACAGGTGTTTTGCCTCCTTAAGTAGGTTTATTCCTAGGTATTTTATTCTTTTTGATGCAATAGTAAATGGAATTGTTTCCTTAATTTCTCTTTCTGATATTTCAGAAAGTGTATAGTTAGTGTATATTATTAGTGTATAGAAATGCAACAGATCTCTGTACGTTAATTTTGTATCCAGCAACTTTACTGAATTCAGTGATGAGCTCTAGTAATTTTCTGGTAGCAGAAGTTCTCAGTTTTAATGAGGTAGAATTTTAGTCTTTATAGTTCGTACTTTTTTGTATCTTGTGATTTTTAAAAATTCTTTCTTATCTCAAGATCATAAGATATTTATATGTAGGCTAAAATTTTCATAGTTTTGCTTTCCACAACTCAACGCAGCTGGAGTTGGGTTTCGTGTATGATTGAAGCAAGAGTTCATTTTTACTTCTAGATGGATAACCAGCTGTCCCAGCATCATTTATTGCAAAGTCTGCCCTTTCCCCTGATGAACTGAAATATACCATCTATAGCCTAAAGCAAGTTTACACATATGCATGGATTTGCTTCTGGGCCCTCTATTCTGTTCCATAAGTTATTTGGTTATCCCTGCACCAACAGATAGTTTTAATTACTCTACCTTTATAATAATTCTTGATGACTTTTCACTTATTAGTGTTTTGTCTTTTTTTGACCCTTTGCTTTCCCACAAAAAACTTGTCAAGTTCCTCGAAAAAAACCTGTTAGAGTTTTTATTGGCACTACCAATCTTTAAATCAATTTGGAGAAGTGACCTCTTTACGATATCAAATTATTCTGTTTATTTAAGTCTTCTTCAATGTATTATATTTTATAGTTTTTTTTTCCCATACAACTCTTATATAGCTTTTGTTAAATTTAGTCCTCGGTACTTTATATATTTTTTGTTGCTACTGTAAAATATATAATTTTATAAACTGTATTTTCTAGCAGTTTGTTGATTGTGAAAATGAGTGGAACTAATTTTTGTATATTGATTTTATAACCAGTAACCTTGCTTAACTAACTCTTATCAATTTTCCTAATTTATTTGTAGATTCGTCTAGATTTCTTATGTTGAAAATCATATCATCTGTGAATGATGGCAGATTTGTTTCACATTTGTAAACCATACTTTGTATTTTATTTTCTTACCTTGCCATGCTAGGCAGAACCACTCAGGCAGTGCTGAATAGAAAGTGTGATTGTGGCCTTCCTAGATTTGGTCTGAATCTTAAAGAGAATGATTTCAGCATTTGCCATTAAGACGGGTTTACTGTATGTTTTTTGCAGATCTCAATTTATAATTTGTTAACAGTTTTATCATGAATACATCAATATGTTGAATTTTATCCATTTTTAATATCTATATTGATGGTTATAGGTTTTTCTCCTTTAAGCTGTTAATTTTGTAAGTTAGTTGATTTCCAAATATTAAAACAACCTTGAATTTCTGGAATAAACTCAATTTGGTGATGATATATTATCTTTTATATATATTGCTGGGTTTGATTTGCTAATGTTATATTTAGGAGTTTTGCATCTGTATCTGCGAGTGAAATTAACCAGGACTGTCTTTTCTCATATTTTCTTTGTTATGTTTTGATACTGAGATGTTGCCAGACTCATAAAAAGATTTGGAAGGTGTTTGCTCTTTTTTAATACTCTGGAATAGTTTGTGTAGGGTTGTTTGTGAGATGATGTGAAAGTAGATAAGGTATTCTGTATGTTCACTAATGGTGCTGGCAGAAGGGCTGCAGGCAGGGAAGACAAATCTGCACCCGGAATATGTGTGTCTCCTTATGAAGACAAAGGACTACTCCCTTTATAATGGAGGAGTCCAATATAATCAACCTGACACCAGGTAATTAATTTGCTGTTTTCCCTGGGAAAGGGTGCCATGCTAGGGATGTAGCATTAACCTCTAC